ACCATTATCATGCGCATCATGTGACAGAGCCAAATTGCTGTTTTTCTTCAGATAGACTATAGTTTGGAAAAGCAGTCCAGCTTCACTAACTGCATGATAAATCACCTTGCAGTGTCATCTTCCATGGGGAACAACAGTTCCAAACTTGGGTAAGCTACAACAAAGCCACACGTCAAAATTTCATAGCTGGAGTTATGAAAAAAGTTTCCTTTTAAAAGAGCTACTACGACATCTATTCCTCAGAGCCTCAACAAAAACAGTTTTTTTGCTGTTCACTAGTGCACTGAAGACCCCACTGTATCTCTTTCAGTCACCTTAAATTTGGTGTTTTGATCTCAGAGTTCACATTTTTATTCAAGAAGTGGTGAAACAAATGGGAACAGGCACCAAACACCCACAAACTCAGTGTGGGCTTGGCAGCCAACTGCCATTTCTTCCTTCCACCAAATCTTAATTAACTAAATGCTGAACCACCAGAAAGTCTGGCACAATAAAAGTATATGAATCACAGATGTGGGCAGACAGAGGATTTTGAGGAAGAAAATGAACAGAAAGTAAAATGGTAGCTACCTAGGGTCAAAGTAGAGTTCTCTGATGTATGTCTAATTCTGCTGCTGTCAGCAGAAACAGACCACTCACAACTGTACCATACAATCTTAGTGAAGAATTTTAAAATATTTTTTAAATCTTCAGCCCATTTCTGAGATGCATGTAATCCTTCTAATCATTTATACAGCTTTCACCATCATGGGATTCAGCATTTTGGCATGTTGCTACAATGGCAACATATATAATTGTTTCTCCCACATCAGAGAAAATCTGTTTCTTGGAGAATCATTCTTGTGCTTTAATAGCAGCTGGATCTTTGATTACATGTTGCATCTTAAACCTACATGGCAGCGTCTCTCATCAGAATCCTCCACATATTCCAATTCAACAGTTTTACTGTAGCTCCTTTATTCATCTGGATTGCTTTTCCACAGCCAGTCTTTCCAGACATCCTATCTGAGGTCAAGATTCTTCCTTCGGAAGCACTGACTAGCCTTGTGTCAACAAAAATACACCTTCCCAAGGTGCATAGCATTAAAAGAACAAGCCCTTCTCTTGCTCCAAAAATAGAGAAGATTATTTTATTGTGTGAACTAACCTACAAGGCTTACTTGAAAGTATGTTTTATTTCATGTCTGGGCTAAGTGTTTACCTATTCTCTAATAGTATCTGTTCCCATCTTTCAGTTAGTTGTCCTATCTCTTCTCAACACCACAATTAATCTTTGTATGTCAGTGATGGCATTGGTATGGATCTCTGGTGGAAGTTCACCAGGTCCTATACTGCACCCATTTCTGGGTGGGAGTGAATTGGTCTACAGGATCAACTGTTTGCAAATTGCTGTATATATCTGGATGCTTCCCTCCTGGGTTTGTTTCCCAGCAAAAGGTGCTGGTGACCGCACTACTCGTGCAATGCGTAATGAATGTGGTAATCAAATCAAGCTACAATAATAATAATTTTTGAATTGCATAATGTACATTATCACATGAATCACATGAACTTAAGGCAAGATGTTAAAGACTAAGCTATAAGCAAAACTGCATGTTTTAAAGTAAAGTTACTCATACAGTTGGCCCTCAATCCATGAAACAACCTTCTTGAGTGGTAAATTTGCTGATACATAAGATGCAGCACTCGTTTGAAAGCAGAGTCTTGCCCCTGTTCTTGGTACCTCAGGAATCATATTATCATAGTAGCACCACCCTTACTACCCTCATTTTCCTGGCACATTCTTCTGCTATGTGCCAGACTAAGATCAGGATAAAGCAAAGGTAACATATACTGTATTTGCTCTCTCAGCATCACCCAGAGATGAACTTTACTAAATCTCAAAACTACATATAAAGAATTAGCAATGACTCCAGGGTTGGTTTTGTTTGTCTCAGTACCAACTAGATCTTCTCTGGTATGTATATTGCTTGAGTAAAGTTTATACTTAACAGAGCTCCTTAAACACAAGTTAAAAAACCTCCAAACAAACAAAAAGAATAAAAAGGCACCTAGGGGTACTAGCTTCCTAAACAATCTAATTCTATTTAAGTTTTAGCAGTTGTTTATATGCCCTCTTTATACAGACCCACGAGGAATCAAACAGGACATTTGTTGCTACAGCAGAGGGAATTTCCAGTATTCTTAATTAACCAATTATTTTGTCAAATATTTCAAATAGATTTCCTAATGGGCTAGAATATCTTAAAAACTATAAAAAAATCAAATTAAAATTTTTAACAGAGCTCCTGAAAATAACAAGCAATGCCCAACTGTATTTGGTTTATAGATAAAATATGGACAAAGCTTTGAGACAAGTATTGAAAAGGATTTTCAGAATGAAGTAATCACTAATGGCACTGTGACCCTTCTTTTTCCTCACATCATTAAATTTTTTAAACAGTAATTGAAACTGTTATATGCAGTGAACTGAAAATACAGTTGGGTTTTTTTAACTTTAAATATGCATTTTTAGAAATATCTGCTGTAAAAACAAGAAAACTTAGAAAGGCATCCACAAAGTTGCAAGATTGCAATAAACAGCTTTATCAGTCTGGAAAGCAAGTTGCTTTCACTGGCAGCCTGAGATAAGCCATTTCAGGGCACAGAAAGCTTAAAAACCACAGGAGTTTTGGGCTGTTGAACAATTGATTTTAGATTGAAATTATTGGAGATGTTTTGAACAACATAATCACTTCCTCAGGGTGACCCAGTTTCAGGTGAAAGGTTTTTTTGTAAATTACTTTCAGAAAATTTTCAGGCATGGCACACAATTTATTTTAACTGAAATAACAGAAGTCCTGTTTGGAATACAGAGGTGATAAATTAGAAGCAGTCAATACTACTTAATCAGAAATAAAACTCAGGTCAGAAAGAGAAGGCACAAGGATATGATAATTATATGTTCAAAGAAGTTACTGATTATAGAAGTCCAAGCTACACCAATAACTTTTCAATCACACTAGGATTGTCTTTCACGCTCACTCTTTTTTCCTTTAGTAGTCAGTTTATGATATACTTTGGATTAATCTTGCAATATTCAAATTGTGTCACTGTTGACATCCAAAATATTGCAGATAGCACCATAAAAAGAAAAAAAATCTTACCAGAAACACCATTCTACTAAAAGATTTCCTAGCAGAGTATCAGCAAAGTTGTCAAACTATTATCAGCAGAAAGCATGTACATTATAATACTACAGATTTTAGTGATTTCATTTTATTACATAAACAGATATGTATTATGAGAACTAAGGTGTCCTTATACATGACCTCAGCATAAAGTACTTAAATTGCCATTAAATCAGATGGTTCAAGGTAAATTGGAATACATAATTTCAAACCACTCAAGGAAAAAAAATAGGGAGAAATGACATTAGGTAAGAAAATAAGTTAAATATTAATGAATCTAAGACATATAACTAATAGATGGAAGAGGAGGGAAGGGGGTGAGAGACAATCTTTTAGTTTAGCACTCTCCTTTCAGACCATCTAAAGATATCCAGTTAAATTTAATAAGGGCAACTGAAATGACTAAGCATATAGACTGAAAATGAAAAAAACACACTGTAAGGAACGGCATAAATAAATTTCTTATAAATTGAAAAATACAGCAGTAATTACATAGTACATACTAAACTGAAAGGTAGCAAAAAAGCAAAGTTTTGAAATCCAGATACATTTTCAAGGGTATACAGTGAGAGACAGAATTTGTGACAATAATATTTAGAGAAATCACAGAGTTTCATCTGTGCGAACACACTGAACTTCTGAGAAACTGATCTATGCAACTATGAACTTAGCCTCAGCCTGCTTGTTGCCATAACCTAGACTATTGGTAATCTCTGTAAACTCTGCAGGTATGGAGATTGCCACACTTAAGAGCTGTTAAGGTTAAATGGTTTTCCAAACTTGATTCTCTCATTCAGTTCTGAAAAAGAATGACTTCTATTTAAATGAATTAAGAATTACTGAATTGCACACATAGTGTTCAGAGCCCACTAAACCTATAATTCACCAAGGAATTAGCCAAATTTACAGTTACCTTAAGAAAGGCTACACAATTAAAACAGTGTCACCTCTTAACCAAGACCTATATGATGTTAGTAAGATCCTGGGTCAGAGAGAGATAATTAATACAAGAATAGAAGTATGTTATGGGTACAGTAGCCTTCCAATTCATGTGTTACATAAATATTAGGCCATCACAAATGGAAATAAATCTTTCAGTTAACAGAGCTTTCTCAGTTCAAATGCATTCTACTGTCTCACTAGAAACTTGCTCAGAAAAAGACCCAAAATTTGTGGTTAACTGCAATTTAAAAAAAACAAAGATACACCACTTGTATGAATAGGTCAACCACCTCCCACTGAATGAGAAAACAAAACTTCTGTACAAGAGTCATGTAGCCTCTGATCTGACTTTGAGGGTTCTTTTGAAAGGTTTACATTTCAAATGGAAATTAATTTAACACAGACCAATGTCAATGGCTTCTATATTGCTTTCCCTAATTCTTTTACATTAATTGCTTCCACAGCAAATGTTTAATTATTTTTGAAATCAGGCTAATATCAGCATCAAAGTAGAAAAGCACTGTTTAGAACAGCACTTTTTTTCACTGAGAAATCACTATCAACTGGATTGTTTATATACATGGCATGTCTACATATAGTCACTTATGAATTACTTAAAATCGTTTCAACTTTCACAATAAAGTACTCCAGCCTTCACTTGGAAATAACAACAAGCTCACCCAATTCTTGCTGATGACAGCAAAAAGACTTCTGCTAACTTCATCAAGCTGTAGTTAAGACCTAGACACTATGACAGTGAGTTTGCTTAAATATACCATGATTTCAGAACACATGTAAGATTTGTTGTATATATTCACATGCAAGCACATACCATCTTCATCAACACACTGGAGAAGACAGAGAATGAGGGAAGAGATTGTTCTGTACCTGGCAAGTCTGAAAAAAGGAGAATGCATTCATTGAATCCATTAGCCAGAAGACGATCCCTCAGTTGTTGAAGTATTGCAACTCCAATACAGAATGGGAAGGAGGAATTTCCAAGCAGCAATGTATCCCACAAGTGAAAGATTTTGTGCAAAGGAAAGACATCTGCATGATGAACAAACACAGTTAAAAAAAACTTTAAGCATACAATTAAGCATATAAGTTGATAAAAACATATACAACACACACACACTTTTTCCTCTCCTGTCTTAGGGTTATTCTTTATCTGGGAGCCAAAATGATTCAACCTGTTTAGAAACTGGTTTATCTTCATATGCAGATTGATTATTCTGGATATCATCAGTGTCTTCTTTCATTAGTAAATACTTAGAATGGTGCAGGTTTTCAGGTTTCACACACACAAAATTAGGCTATTTATTTTTCTTTAGGTATGGTGCAATTGTGCATTAGGACATGCATTTCCAATAATATGAAGACATTAACAAGTTAGTAAGCTTAACTACTTAATTAAACAAGAAAATGAACAGAATAGAGCAAAAATTAGCAAAATATAGGAAAGACAAGGAGAAAAGCCTATTACAAAAAGTGCCATTTTACATACAAAGCTGAAGGTAGCTCTCCTGAAATAAGCTATCCTTCAACTAAATAATTATAACTTTTTATTGGAATTCACTGCCAAGGAAACCATCCCCTTGGTCTTCCAAAGCTGATGATTCTCATGAAAATTTTAGAAGAATGGTTAAACTGCAAGAACCAGTGCTTTACAGTCAAGATCTTTAGAAACTGCAATTAAGAATCTCACATTAAATTCTTTGATATTTCATCAGAGAAATAATCCATCAGCTCTTTTCATCCTGCCACTTCTTTTTAAAATTCAAAGTCTGCCAATGTTGACATGAAATTAAAAAAAAAAAAAAAATCAGAGATCTTTGAATTACTTTCTAGATTTGCTTTAACAACCTTGTCCTCTTTCATTAAAAGCTCACCAAATTATAAAGCTCTCTTGGTTCCCTATCATACATGCACAAATATAATAATAAAATAGTGCTAGTACAATAACAATGTGTCAAAGTGCAATAAAGAAGTTTGTTTTGTTGGTCTTCAAAACCAGTTACTCTCTTTCCTATATTATTTGGGTGAGAGCAGGGGAAGGTGGTGAGGTTTGGTTTTGGTTTTTTAACTATTATTATACCTTTCTTTTCCAGTAAATAACAGCTTCCTTTGCACACTCCCTAAATGTGTATGTGTAAAATAATCCAGTTCAAACTTAACATAATACTTTCTTAAAAAAATAAGATGACACTGATTTTTGTCAAATCAGGGCAGAAAGTACGTGACAGGCACTGTGGAGACTCAAAACCACAACACACATTCTTGCAAATTACAAGCAACCTACTAAATGACAGACACATCACACCAATTAGGAAGGCTTTAGCTAAAAGCTGTGCTTAAGAAATATAAGAACATTTAATAAGAGAAAAAGAATGCATACTCACGTGTGAACATTGTAAGAAACCAAGGAATAGCATACAGCTGCAGAAGGAGGTGATGGGGGAAGAGAACAAAAAAATGTTTTTAAGAGCTGAAGGTGTTTATGATAGTTGTCTACTATATTAGAAATTTCCCTAGCTTGTCACAAATGTGTTTAAAATGAGAAATAACTACAGTGGCAGAACCACTATCACACAACTTCTAGCCTCTCAAAGAAGCTATCTTCCCCAGGCCCACATTCTCATCTCCTTCAAATTACTAGTTTGTGATACTCTATTGAAAACAGTTACAAAAATCACCCTCACTAGGCTTATGTTTGCAAAAAACCCTCCTCCCAAAGTCATCTCAAACACCTGCTCTACTAAACTGCCACAGTTCTCACCCTACATTATATATATATATATATATATATATATATACACACACACACACACCACTAAGTGAAAATTAGCAAAGGATGCCCGAACAAGCATAAAACAACTTGATTTGATATATCTCTGACTATGAAAAAAATCCTGGATTTTTATATATACTTAACAGTGCAAATCACAATTTCCAACAGAAAAAAATAACCGTATCTATCTTTTTCTCCTATGTTGGTGTGTATTAAAATGTATACTTGTCAGTGAAAGGCACTAAGAATGGCTTAATTTTCAAAAGCAGTGTCAGTTGCCAACACCATTTATGTTGTTCTACTGTGACCTTTAAATAAAGGTGTCATCTGAAGAATTTGAAGAACAGTTTCTGCAAACTTTCATACACATGACATCATACAGAGAAGATTCAGTATGCATTAGAAGAGGTAAGCATTTATGACACCTTAAGAGTTTATGAATGTTCAGTGAAGTATTTTGCATGTTGAAGGCAACAGAATCTATTTTCTTGAAACAATGAACTGCACAGAAAGTCCCCACAAATTAAGAATGCAAGAGCAAGACACTCATTGTTAAATTTTACTTAGTTGCATAGCTCATGTGCTCTGTTTTCCACTTCTGAAGATTTACAGCTAGACATAAAGCTTAATATATTACTTTTTAGCTCATAAAAAGTGCAAATTAGTCCTTGTATTAAGCTTTCCCTGGAAGTAAGCAAATGAGAAGCAGAAAGCATAATTGATATTATGTTAATAAATTACTACTTATTCCATAAACTCTTAACTGGGTAATGGCAGTGATTAAATGATGCACACATTTGCTGAAAAGCTCTTTAGCACAGCTGTCTCTAAATTTTATTCCTACGTGTTCATCTGAGCATCAGATAGTATCTGAACCATACTGTCCATAAAACTAAAAAAACTGCTATGACCAGACCGTTCACTGCTTTCAGTATTCAGGAGGCTTTTATAAAGCTTGGCCTCCAAACCCCCATTTGATTTTAAGGTTTCAAAAACCAAAACAAATCAATTTCTATCACCACTTTAATCTTATAATACATTCATACTATTTCCTAGAGTATATCTTTGTCATATCTTCAGGGTTCCTACTGAACAACATAGCCTGTTCCCCGAAATATCCCCTACAGTGGTTGTGATCAGCTGATACCTGTTTACCTGCTTCCTTGTCCACAATATCTTGCTTTCCATGCAGAAGGAAAACAATAATAGCAGCTTGAGGCTCTTCTTTGCTTGGAGGTACAAATTATGTGGATATAATTTTGAACCACATTATTTCCTTGGTATTTAAAAGCAATTATTTCCTCCTTTTCATATATTTGATTAAAACATTTTACCAAATCAGATACACACTTTCTCCTAATTTCACAAACACTTCTATCTTGTAGGCATCTACCTACACAGAAATACACGAGAAAATACACAACATTTGAAGCATTAAGCAGATTATCATAAGGTTATGATAAGGTTTGCCACAAGGCAAAGCACTGCTTTGCTGTAGACTATCCTCAAACATATCAACAATGACATGAAAAGTAGGTCAAACTATTTAAGTAGAAGGTATCAGGCAAGGTTTTACTGAATGGATTTTTCTCTCTGATTTTCATAATGTGCTAAGACAAGAAGGTCCTGGTAAACCTGAAGAGGTTATGATTACTACTAATAAGCAGGCAAAAAAAAGCCACAACACTGGTGGTATTATTCCACCACACAAGTCAAACTGAAAAAAACAGTCAAGAACTACTACACTGACTTGAAGTCCTCAAATAAATAGGCTACCAAATTCTTTCAGACTGCACTTATAACATATTATTAGTAAATACTGCCCTCTAGCAATCACTGGCTGGAACAGCATTGTGCCATGCTTCTCTACTAACAAGCTGCTGATCAAGAGGTTTTCAAACCTTCACCACTAAACCCTTAAACATAATGGGGTAGTGGTTCTTATTAACACTTAACTCTCCGTAGCCGGGAAGCATACCTAATGTTTAATCAAAGTAGCATATGAACTGCTTGAACAGTCTGAGAGTAAGTTACATTAAAATAAGAGCCTGTAAAACCAATACTTTGGTTTTTAGTTAACTTTAAATTAAACAACACCATAATTATAATTTTGCTTTTTAGTAAAATACAAGATCTTCCGTGCTTTTAAGCAAGCACTTGGATATTTCTTATACATGAACACAGCAGTACCCTAACATCAGTTCCCATTCAAATCATCTCAATAAATGCACAGGTTTTTTAGTTACAACTAAAATATCTTGTCCTTAAGATTTGGTTTCACTATCCATCTTTCCATTACCCTAGCTAAAGCTTCCCTTCCTGCTCTGCTGTGTCAAATTCTGCTCAGTACCTGAACTTGGAGACTCACTTCATTGTTTTTCAACAGGGTGAAGATGTTTACTTGCCCATAGTTAGATGGGCATATTTTAGGAAGAGTGTATCTCCCATTAAACATTCAAAACTTCTAGATATTGGCTCAAATGACAGCAGAGAGGACTGAGAAAAGTTATCACATACTTCTTATTGTCCAGTAATAACCCCAGATATTGAAGATGTGTTAAGTACTCCAATCTTTCTTTCCAATCTTACTAAACTAAAAGGCCATTTGACATAACTACACAGAAAGGTGATCAAACAAAGAATGAAATAAAGACCCTCAGCTAAAAAGATGATCCTCAGCTAAAAGAAATCCCTTTCACCCTTGGGACACCCCCACCCCTTCCTTCTCCCTCATCCACTGTCATCCTCACCAAGTAGAGAGCCCCAGCACCCAGGTGTAGTGCTGCCACTGAACAAACATACAAACCAACCCACCCCTCAAGGAGGGAGAGAACCCCCCCTTTCCCCCTCCCACCTGAGAACCAAAACTTCAAAGCCCTGCTTTCTTTCTTAAGTGTACTGTAAGGGAGAATCTGTATTTTTTATTTACATTTTATATTTTTGCACATAGCTAGGTGGTCCACCATTTAGAGTGATCTTGGATTGACCAAAAAGGGGGCTTTGAAATGTGTATCTTGTTACTTATCTCTGACTTTACTTGTAGTGTGACCAGGCCCAAACCATTATCTCAAAGGAGAATAAAACAAAACCTTGTAAAAAAAAAATAATAGAAAAAGATAAAAATGAAAAAAAAGAAATTACAGTCTTACTCTGGGCATTCCAGTAACTGTTTTTGTGTGTATATACTGCAGCTGTACCACAGATAATGGTTCATATGAGAAGGCAAGGCCAAAGATAAAATGGTTTCTTCTTCCCCCTCCCATCCATGAAGTTGCTGTTTATTTTTATCTTTTTCCTTTTTTCTTTTTGGCTTGTTTGATGTATGTGTGAAACAACATTGTCCCACAATAGACCACAATTTTATTTTGCTGAGTTTTCCTAACAAGGTTGCCTCCCAAATGCTGCTTTTTGGTTTTATTTTCATTTGTCAAGAAAAATTTTTGTTTTCTTCTCTACAGCTTCATGAGAAGGGGAAGCAGAGAGAGAGGTGCTGATCTGTTGCCCCTGGCGTCTACTGATAGGACACATGGGAACGGCTCAAAGCTGCATCAGGGGAGGTTTAGACTGGACATTAGGAAGCACTGGTTTACTGGAACAGGCTTCTTGGAGATGTGGTTGATGCTCCAGGCCCGTCGGCATTTAAGAGACATTTGGACAATCCCCTTAACAACATTCTTTAACTTGGTCAGCCCCGAAGTGGTCAGGCAGTTGGACTAGATGATTGCTGGAGGTGCCTTCCAACTGAAATAGTCTATTCTATAAAACCCTGATCTTGCACCTTCATATTTTGTCTTCAAAATACACATGTACTTAGCTTCAAGCCTATATGGTGCCTAGACAATTAATCATGTATTCAAATGTCACAGAAAGGTGAAAAAATATTTTGATAACTGGGGATGCTAAGAGAATGCAGATTGAGTTCAATTTTTAGTATTACATTCTACCCATCTATATGCACCTACACAAACAAAATTTGAGGAATGATCACTTTCCTCACAAGATAAAAATACCAGCAAGAAACCTCTCCCCCAGATTCACCACTAGGTCATCGTGTAACAGAACAGAGATAAAGTACGTCAATTGCAGAATTTTTAATTCTCAGTTAGATGAAGCTCTATTACTAACAGCTCCTGCATATCACCAAAACCAAGCTAAGGTATCTGCCTATGACAGTAGCTCCAGCACAATGATATTAAGTAAGTGCAGACAGACTTTGTCCTCTCTGTTAATGCCCAGCTGACAACTGCAGCTAGCTTCCATAATTTGCACCTGAAAGCACTTTAGAATAATTTATGGCTATAGATACCCTTTCAGTACTGTAGAACACTTCCTTGTTTTTCTTCAGTTCAAAATAGTCTGCTGTTGATGTCAGAATTATTTGTAAAATATAGAACGTGTTATGAAGCATTATATAGGGTGAGGGAGATTATAAACTTTGGGAGAGTGAGAAAGAAGGACTGTAAGATTCACTGTATATATCCCTCTATTTACATGTAAATCACACAGCCACAGCTATGTACTTAATCCAGGCACCACATCAGCTAACAATATTCACAACTATTCAAGCGTCAGCAGTGTTCAATATTCTGAGAGCTACGTGACCCGAAGCAAATGAGAAGAGTGCCAGGAAACACAATCTTTCCTGCAGCGGAGCCTGCGTTTCAATGATTAAAGATTAAGCAAGGTTTACTTTGATAGGATTAGTACTCAAGCACGAAACTCTGGTTCAGATCTCATTACTTCAGTGCATATCCTTCACCTTGATGGATCCTGTGCTGTCTTGTTACAGGTACAAAAAACACCTCTCTCACTAATCTAAAAGGCAGAACAACTTTTACTTATAAAAAAAAAAAAAAAAAAAAAAAAAAAAACTTCAGAGGTTAGTGTTAATTTTAGAACTAGCATTTATATTCAATGCAAAGGCTTTTTTTAAAAAAATAATCCTCTGTTTTGTAATTATTTGCTAAATTACCTAAGCATCTCTAGACTGTAACTCTTAGAGACAAGGTTCACATTTGACTATGTGCTGACCATTGACTAGCAAAACACAAAACCGAAAATATTACAAAACAAGTGATTTTAAACTTGCACCTTGAAGGTTTTCAGTGGAGAATTATAACTGCATAAGCAGACACTAGGAGCTGGTGAAAGATCAACTAATGCCCAAGATGGATCACTACAGAGCTCTCACATTGGTTAGCAGCAGAAATGGGGACCTGGTCAGGGAAATTACATGTCTCCCTCTTCAGTAAGAACTAGTATCCTGGACAAAATACACATATTAATTTCTTTGGACATCCACAGCCTTTAACAAATAACTATCAAGTGCATTTACAGCAATTTAGCAAAATTGATTCTCCCTCAGGAAACTAAATGTTGCTGTTATCAGTGCCCTTCATCCCCCCCAAATATTCAGGGTTTCTGCAGATGAATGTTCTCCCTTCTATCCACCTTCCCTTTGTTTTCCTACTACCCACTCTCTTTAGATGCGGGTGGCTCATCAGCAATACATGGAGCCTTCTCAAATATCTTTGTTTATAATGCAACACACCAGCTTTCTCTTTGGTTCATTTTGATGTCACAGTATCTCTTAAATTTATATCAGTCATAAACAACGTTATTACATTAAAAACACTTCTAAAAATGAAAGCATCTCTCTGCTTTTCCATTATAATTTTTGTAAACAGTGATAATGAGTATCTGCCAGTCCCAAAGACACACAAATTCACCTAGCAATCGTGTACAAGAAATGACTTACAGAAGCTTGCCCTTGTTGCTTCAATTTACAAGCTTATTTTTACCATAAAAGCTGTATACTTATTAGGAGATGCATATATTGCTTACAGGAGAAATGCACATAAGTTACTTATTTATGAAATATATAATTCTACATCAACATCTCTTGACTTTTCCTTGTTCCATTCTGACCTCTCATCATCATCTGTTCTTACAATCAACTTTTAATTACCAAATTTCTAAATGTCAAATATGTCATGATATAGACTGTATGAATTAACAGTGTTCTCTCTATAGCCTTGCCTAAGTCTACTTTTCAGAAACATCAGCCATAAAGTTCAATAATGCTATAGTATGCAGACCAACATTTTCATAGAGTATTATCTGGGCTTTTTGGACTACACATGCCTCTCTAAACAAAGGACAAAAACTTCACTATTTACAGTGATAGCTAAAAGTATGGCTCTAAAAGAAGGCCTTGTTTTGCTTTTTCCACCATAGCCCTTCCTCTCTAATACATTTTGGTCGTGATCTCAGTTTTCATCTTCCTCCATCTTACAGACTTCTTCCAATGAAGGCATAAAACTTATGACACAAACTATGCACTTATCCAGTGTTTCTGACAGACTCCAATAAATGACTGCTAAGCATCTGCCAAGGTCTGACATATCTACAGATTAACCATTACTTGCAAATTGATGTGCTTTTTGTGTTAACCAACAGCATTTAGGTAGTTTGCAGAAATTTTTCTATTAGTCATTTATAGACACATCAATTTTTATATATTAATCCACACTTCAAAAATAAAAATTATATACATCTTTTAAGATATAATAACTGACTACTGGTATTTTTACTGTTTTTATCATGCCTACAGAATGGGAAGGACTGAAGTATGTAAAACAACAATCAAAACTTCACCATTTTATCAACATATTCAGAATGGTGCATTAATGTGAAAGTCCCACTTCATGTCAAACTGCTACTGAAGGAGTCTAGAAAGGCCTCTCATCCTAGCTGACCTCCACTTTTTACTTCCTTTGAACAACACTTATAAGAACCCTTAGCACTTACATCTGGAATAAAACCGATTTCATTAAGGTGGTTACTCAGCTCTGGATCATGGAATGCAATCATCTGGGAAAACACCGTCAGGTATTCTGAAATGACAAACATATTCAAGATCATTGTCAAAAATGCCACAACATGCTGCTAGCTCACAATGGAGCTGTAGAAAAGGAAAAAAAAATTTTTTTCAAACCTATAGTAAAACCAGCAAGCAAATACACTACCGCCCTCCTTGTCACCAATATATTCAATACAGAGGAAGAAAGGCTTAATTTCTCTTCCTTAGTACTTCTCAATTTGATTTTTCAACAATGGTTTACTTGGCTCATACTCAGATTGTGATTTATGTTTGACATGAAAAGTTACAGATTTTCAGTATGAGAATGAGCCACAAGATATTGATGGAAGCAAATTAGAACAAGACTGTTCCAAGGATTTTTAAGACGCAAACTGTTTTAGTGATACAAAAAGTTTATAATCTTTACATTATATTATGTGTGGGTTTTTTTTCTACAAAGTTAAATTCTGTAATCTGGAAGCTGAGGCTTTTAAGGTCATGGGGCTTTAAGGTTACCACTTCCATGATCAGTAACATCTTTGTATTTTTTGGAACAGATAAGGAGAAATACTTATATTACATCTTCAGCATGGCACATTAGGCTGATGGTTACACTTTCATTAAGTTGTCTAAATAACATGTGCTTTTAATTAGAAAAGAAACAGACAGCAGAACACAGACACTGACAGATTTCTTTCTGTTCTGCCCCTCTCAATTTTATCCACATTGTCATACTCTTTGTTAGAAGGAGAATGGAGGCAACATCGTAATTTTGTAACAGATGGCAATTACTTTTCCTCCATGCTCCCAAGAAGAGAGTAATTAGGGCCCAGATAGCTAGTTGAGGGGAGGAAAAAAAGACAGAGAATGTGAACCCTGGTTCCAGATCAGAACATGCTGGCATCTCAATGCTCCACAGACTACTGTGTAAATAACTCTTTATTACTCTGTCTTCATCCCCGAAGTGGCAAAATTAAATTCCAGTTCCACTGCTAAGAATCACAAAAGTGGCTCTGCTGGAATAATTGCATGGATAGACACCTTTAAGAACAGAAGTGGGTGTTAAGCATTCAGATGTTTACAGACTCCTATCTTACTTAAATCTTGATTATCTGCAATCAAGTTAGCTCCTCTCAGGTTAAGCCAGCAAGTTAAGAACAATCACCCTGTAAAATAAATCTAATTGGATTAAAAATTGTAAAAGCTGATTCTGCCTCAGGAGGACTAATAAACAAGGCTCTCAGGGTAAGAACACAAGGAAAACAAGCCACAGTCCTACTGAAATTATACTTGAAAGGATGCCTAATTCTCCAAGATAAGTTGCAATAAGAATTAAGAACTCTTGAGTCTACTTCAGAATTTTGCAACTTTTGCTTCAAACTGTAAAGACAAGGACACAGCACACTAACCCTCTCAGGAGATTTCTGGCGTCTTAGGAGTGCCAGCCTCTCCCTTCTGACACTACATCTCTATTATATCACAAATGACCTGGCAGCACTCAGCTGAACAGTTAAGTGGGTAAAAAGACCCATGCTGAGTTTTGTGTCACCAAGGCCAGACTGCTTTGGAGCTACTCACATATCTCATTTTCTCAGTTTCAAGATGAAGTTATTTTTATTCACATACATACAAGTTAGAAAGATAACTGAACTCATGACTTAAACTTATACCATACTGCATGATAATAATTTTTTAAAAGTGCATCTCTAAGGTGCATCTGACATGAATTTAACGAAACAGCCACTAATCACAAGTCAGGCATAGGAGATGAGTAATCCTACACATTTCTAACACATACCGATGTATTGCTGAAAACAATTTTTTCACAATTAGCTTCCCTAAAGCACATTTATTTTAAAAACTAAGATTCATGCCCATGATAGTTCTCTACAGATATAGTATAGGTTGGTAAATATTATCTTTATTTGACTAGCCAGTCTCATGAAATATAATTACTGTGTGGGATTACATGGTTAATTAAGGGTCTACCAAAGCCACACAAATATTCACAAAAATGTATTGCTTAGGTCCAGCCAATTGCTGTTGGTTGGAATTTTATTATTGAATTTCTGTTTTATATAACTGGTCATTCCATACCTAAACCTCTTTAACTGCTCTTGCTTCCTGTTTCATGTAAGGAAATATCTGAAGCTTAGAAACACCACCTGTCTTCATTGTATAGGACAAAGTCAGAAATCAGGTATGCTAAACTATGCAGTTTGAAAGATTGCATCCGTCCACCCCTACATGGAAGACACAAAGATGCTAAAAAGCTAAAATTGCACTGGGCAGTTAAATGACACATTCATAACACTTAATTCTAACCCAATAAGGCAGGCAAATTACACAGAATCTTCCTTTAAAACCATATTTACACATTGGTGTTTGACATATGACCCTAGAAAAGATTAAATCAGGATCCTGAAAACATCCTAAAAGTTCCAGTCTCCCCAAGTCCTTGATGATGCCAGGTGTTGCACAGGAATGCATACATTACTTTGGTTCACAGAATCCTACTGACCTACATTTCTAACTTCAGCTGACACATATTATTGTAAGGCCCCTTAGGAATAACATCATGGAACTCGAGAGAGCAAAAGTATTATTTTATGGAAGAGTATAACTCCTTAGAGAAAAGTCTTTACCAAGCTATTAATCTTGAAGTCTAAAGCAGTTGTCACCACTGGAGCATCTGATAGAATATACTGACACACTGCTCCTTTTTTTTTCCAGCTAGCACTCTTTCTTTACAGGCAAAAGGATGCAAACAAGTTCTCTTGAATGCTCTTTCCCAACTGTTATTTTACATATTCAGTTCATGACACCTCTTAACCCACCATCTTTCATATGTAAATTCTCTTGACCACTGTGTTCTCTCCTTATGCTAGCCCTTCCCTATTATCCAGTACATAACTGCTTTTATGTCTTAACTTTTTTTGTTGATCAGTTCTTAATTTCCTTTTGTTTTTTTAAAGACAAAATATGACAAACACCATTTCTAAGTTGAGGAGATTCACAGGTCATATACAAAAGAATTTCTGTAAAAAAATACAAGGACAGCAAGCCATGCTGAAACACAGTATTCAAAAAAAACACTCAGAATTGCTTGCAATTAAAAACATTAAATACCACCTGTTTTTCTAAACTACTGATGGTTTTTCAAACAGCTTCTGTTGTTTTTTAAAAACTGCCTGCAAGTTTAAAAACTTGACTGTGCCAAGGTGGCTTTCTAGGTCTAAGCAATTCCTTCTTCATGTTTCAGTAAAATTTACAATTAATTTTAGAGTAGACATTTACCTTCCAGCTATTTTTTTAATTTGTCTGAGCTACCTATATAGTTGTTGAAGACTGAACTATGGAACATCATTCGTCAGGGTTCTTTAACTTCTGTCCTGTACTAAGTGATATTATCTTCTGTTCAGTAAGAAAGTCATCTCAAATCCCTAACTCTCTGAATACCATGACTTCCATTTTCTGCAGAGTCCCTAGTTGGTACTGTTTTCCTTCATTTTCTCTCATTGTCAAAATAGCTCCTGTATGATTTTAATCACCTGAAGTTTAGATCTCTACAATCTAACGCTGGAAAGACTATTTACTTATTTTGCAAATTTGTATGATCAACTGACTCTTACCTTGGATATGACACAGAACACTTATGCATTTTTTTTTTTTTGTGTAGTTGGTGTTTTTCTCCTGCCTGAATCTTTACCCACTTATTTTGTTCCTATTTTTCTTGCACAGCTGTTCTTATTTATCTAAAATAAAGCCTTAGAATGAAATAGGTGGTTATTTCTACAGTGCAATTCTAGCTGTGTTCCAATTTACAATCACTTGAAAAAGTGTATTTATATATCCAGAAATAATTCTGATTCTTTTAGAACTACAACATAAATACAAGGACTTACCTTGAATAACATGAGAATTATCCTTCAGAAAGAAGTTATACAAATACTTGGGGATAAAAGCAGACATGCAGGCATAAGCCAGAGCTGAAAGAATCAGAAAAGTGAATACAGCTACAGAGAACATAGAAATGTAAGTACACTTAGCAAAGATCATTAATAAGAATAAATACTTAAATCAATCTATACACAAAAATGATTGTAAAACATACAAAAAGGACATATTCTTCAATAAAGAATTTTAAAAGCTCCTAGAAAAGTCTCCTTCTGTCACTGAGTAATCAACATAAATCTGGTTAGACCTAGTCTGCATCCAGTTTTTTTTTCTGTACTTCTCAGTGACACAGTAATGAGATGATGTTTGGAAAGCCATGGTGGTGTTTGTATCAAAAAGTGAAGGTCCCTGCATGAATAAAATTTTAGAAGGCAGTTTCAGGCAACTGCATTGTTGCAGTTATAGGTTTTCTCCTACAGAACTTACAGCCAGTTTATGCTCCATCAGATTCCCATCTCATCTCTAACTTAATCTCAGAAAGAAACTAAAGATAGAATTCAGAAGAAAAACCACAGAATGGAATATAATTTAAAATACTGTCAGAAAGATGGACAAAAACTTCTCAACAGCTCCTCACATACATACCAGATAGAGATTAGAAGGTAAAAACTTTAGTGTTTGCACCCTTGATTAATTCCTGGTAACTTGGCTAAGAGACAATCTATTGTAATACAATTCTTAGCCATAGTGCTAGACCACAGATGTAAAACAGAAATCAGGGTTTGTTGTAAATTGTCTAAAGACAGTAAATATAATTTCAGGAGTTTCTAAGCAAAACATCAGATTTATAGCAAATATGACATCGGATCATGTTATAAATAAATTGTGTTATAACTTTTCTAGCATTGAAACCACTTCTCAGATATCCAATGAGAACACAAAATTCTACATAATTCACTACTATTATATTTTGCTCCAGTGGGAAGAAAACAAGGTTCTACAATCAGAAAACAGTTCTACAATCCAAACTGTATAGGAACATGTCCATGAGCAAGCATCTGTTGAAATGTCTGAATTAGTATGCACAGCAGGCATAATAGGAGTCATTGTCCTAAAAAACTGTTCTTCCCCACATAGACCTTATATAAAGAAATTCACATGCAAGGGAACAGAAGATTGGACTAGACCTATTCTGAACAAACTGCAATCCAAGAATGTAAAGGCCACGTATCCAAAGCTGGTCTGATAAGCTTTTAGGCATTTGAAACAATCATCAGCTTTTCTGAATAAATCTAGTCTGACAAGTTGTCCTGGTTTCGGCAGAGATAGAGCTAATTTTCTTTCTAGTAGCTGGTATGGTGTTGTGTTTTGGATTTAGCATGACAATAATGTTGATAACACACTGATGTTTTTAGTTATTGCTAAGCAGCATTTGGATTAAGTCAATGACTTTTCAGCTTCTCATGCCCTGCCAGTGAGAAGGCTGGAGGGGCACAAGAAGTTGGGAGGGAACACAGCCAGGACAGTTGATCCAAACTGGCCAAAGGGATATTCCATGCCATATGGCATCATTCTCAGTATATAAACTGGGGGGAAAGCTGCCTGGGGGCCCCAGCTCAGGAACTGGCTGGGCATTGGTTAGTGGGTGGTGAGCAACGGCACTGCGCATTGCTTGCTTTGTATATTCTACTATTTTCTTCCTTTTTATGTTCTATTAAACTGTCTTTATCTCAGCCCACGAGTTCTATTTACTTTTTTTTCCCCCCCCTCTGCTCTCTCCCCCATCTCGCTGGGGGCAGGCTGTGTGGCGCTTAGCTGCTGGCTGTGGTTAAACCACAACACAGTTTAACAGTTAGGTTAACAAATGATGCATTCACATTAAGTGAGGCTGAATTACAGCTTCATTGAAAAAGACAAGTACTAGAGAAGCACTCCTTGCTATTCTATAATGAAGGTTATTTGTGCTTTTTCTTATATATTTATTATTATACTTGGCAATAAACACAGGGTTTGAACCTGTCTGAAGAACAGTACACCACACACATTTTCAAAACCAGCCATTTCTTTTGACTTGTGGCAACAAGAGCTTTAGAGTTCCTTTATAGCTACAGAAAGTTTCCATCTGTAAGTGGGTACACACACATCTGTCTACAATTCGATACAGATGACAGACTGTGCTTCCCCCTCATCCCCAGCAGAAAAAAGGTACTCACCTTCATTGTTAAAATTCAGGTACAGAAATGGTGCACAAAGAGAGTCAAGACCTAAAAAGAGAAGAGCCATGAAGAAACTGCATAAAGAGCTCATTTATTTTAATGCACAAGATAGACACTAATTTATCATGAAAATTTGCATACTTGATATTGATTACAACTCTGCAATGTCAGGCTTCACATGTAATGTTGAGAAAATCTGTGAAATCAATGCGTGAAAACAGAGACGATTTCAAATTGTTCAACTATTAATTCTGAATTTATTATTGTGCCAAGGCTTCCAAGAAATGCATTTACCATCCCAAGAACTCGCTCAGTAACTTCTGCAGTTTTACCTTGGAACTGAACAGTAAGCATGAGACTTTTTTTTTTTTTTTTTTAATAAAGTGACTGAAACTTAAGGACAATAAATACATAAGAAAGAAGGGGGCAATTTTACACTACAAATTAAATACAAATTACAAGGATCTAAGTTTGCAATAATGCACAGATTCATTCTTCAAAAGAAACAGAAAGGAAAACACTCAAAAAATCCTATGGGCCGGGGGGGTGTGGGAAAATATTTTTAAGTCACAGGTTTCCAGTTAATTATGTGACTCTGCCAACTAGTTGAACTCACCTTGCCAGTACACCAAATCAGGATGGGAAACAACCCAGGCTTTCAATACACGTCTAAACTTTGCATGACCCTCTGGTGATGACAGTAATTCGTCATACTGGTGGCAACGAGGAATATCAACTTCAATCTGCACCACAGCCAAGCATATAATAGAAAAAGAAGTCAGAATAAGTGGGGTAGTACTACAGCAATCTTGCAACACTAGAGGTGGAAGTCAGCCAAAGAACATAGGTCAGACCACCACCATAAACACAATCTGCTTCCTCCATCACTCTCAAAATCAAAACTGAAAAGGGACAGGGGACTCTTAAAAGCCCTGTCAAAGATTAAAATCAGAGACTTTTTTCAAATTCATATTTCTAAAAGGATTCTAACTCTTAAAAAAGGCAGAAAGCAGATTACAGTTATATTTTTTTTTCCTGATTCAACTTTTGGACTCTTTTCAGGTTCTAATATCACTTTGCCCTAAAGGATAATCAAATCAGACTTCTCAGAACATTTTTACCCAATTTGATGGAAAATATTTCTTCACCCAGCCAAAAGGAATAGCTGTTGCTTGTGATGTCTTTTTATGTCTGGCATGGTTTCTTGGAGAACCAAATTGCTTAAGAACCCATTTTTGTGAAACACAGCTCACCTTACAGGATCTCAGGGTACTCAGCACTATTTGGTACAAGGTCAAACAGGCACAAGTAACATCCGATAAAAACAGGACTTTTAACAATATATCAGTAATATTGTTCACTACGCTCTGCTGCTGCTACAGAAACAGTGATTCTGAAGTAAAAGAGGATCTCACTTTCCATATTATAACATAATTTGACTTAAACTACTTGTTCCTATCTGTTTAGCAAGATTCCTGTTACAGCATGAATAAGGTTAGAGGACAGGGGGAACCCTTCTAGTATTATCAGCTACATCTACTGTAACAGGCAAATGACTTTTGCATTACTTCAAGCGACAATATTTGATAGCACCAGAAGTCTTACTTGTCGGTCTGTAGGAATCGGTGTGTCTTTATCAATGGCATCATATTTTGCTTGTATGGCACCCTACATGAGGAAGAACAACACCTGAATTTAGAAAGCCCTTACTAGCATAAATGCATATTACAGTGTACATGCTGATACACAGAAGATGACTGTTTTTCTTAGGTGCTTTAGTTCACAACTTTCTTTTCCTGAAAAAAATTCCTAAAGCACATAAAACTCTGAGAGCTGAATTTTAACAAAACCATCTTTATTCTTATTCAGGACACAGACCTTTCTGTGACCTCCTCTGTACCATCTTCAGTGATTTTCAGTTGTTTATGCAGAAAGCTATGTACTTGACAGTTTTCCATTTTCAAGTTAAGAAATGGTCTCAATTTAGTGCTTATCTCAGCCACTGCAAGTGCTTTCAGCATCATCTCTAAAGGCACTGGATCCAGCTGTCTGTTAATTAATAGTGGTATTACCAATACACACTATTCCTAAGTAGCTTGTCCTTGCTTGAGTCCCTAGACAGACATGCCAACAATTCCATCCTTATGTTATGGAACAGGGAAACAACTACCTGCATTGTACAGATGGTAAGCTGATGAAGCATCTCCCAAGACCCAGGCTACAATCTTGACCAGCAGCTGTTCTTTATAGTTACAGCTCTTTTTCTGGTCATTTTATATAGCACTCAGCAGATCACATCCTAAGCTAAATATCCTAATAACCTGGGATGTGTTATCTATAAGAACCTCTTTGCTGCACTACCGCAGATTGCAAGCAAGGTAGATGCAAAAGCTGGGTAGTCAAGCAATCTTTATGAGGAGTCCTCATTTCAGGGACATCCCTTTCTAGTCCTCTGTCCAAATGGGTTACATTTAATTTATTTATTTTTCAGTCTTTCGGAAGTGCGTTAATTGGTAGGGTGAGAAAAATACATTTGATATGTTTCATCATGTTTGCCCAACTATTGCTGACCAGAGCAGAAGGATTCTAACTGCATTTGTCAAAAATATTAAAAATCAAACCAAAAAACCCCATTAACTACCACTTGTATTTGAACAATCTAGCAAAATCTGGCTGTACAGGTAGTATCTTTCTATCCCATCATCAAAATTTAAGGCAGTCAAGTTTACATACATTCTGTGAAATCAAATATTAGAGACAAGAAGCAAGTCTGTCTAAACGCCTTTGTTGACACAATTTCATGACTCATTTTGCTTGAAATTCCAGTAATTCTACCTGCCAAATCTTCAAATCTATGCCATCTTCTCTGTCAATCCCATTCTTATCCCATTCCCTCCCCAGCCAGTACTGGAATTTCTGCAAAAGCCCTCCCATTAACCTTACCTCAACACCCAACAGAGCAGCCCAGGTTATGCCTCTCAGAAGAGGAGGGATGTCAACCCTGGCTTCTTTCCAAATTTGGTTTTTCTTATATGGGTAGGCCTTCACAGAGAAGAGATTAACAGCAAAAAACGTTACCATGTAACTGAAACAATTCAAATTCCCATCCCAAGACAATCTTTCCCCCAAAGGACAAACGCTGTCAGCCTGGACAATAAAAGCAAGTTTTACAGCAAGTAGGTTTCATTCCTAACTGAAGACCTGGATAGAGGACTACTGTTTTATGTTAAAATACTCACTCTTTCTCATAAATGTGTTCACGTGCTTTGGTATACATTGGATATATATATATTTACTAATCCAAATTTTTATTAAAAGTTCTCTCTTCATTATATTTTTCTTTTCATACCATGTATCCAACACTTTTTATTAAATATTTCCAGTTTATACCTTCCTAAATACTGCACATCAACTCTCATTCTTAAGCAAGAATTCAACTCTCTATGTGTATGTAAGTTAGGGGCTTGTATTTTCCTCCCTCAGTATAAGCCCCATATTTCTAACATGGCACTGCTACAGTAAAGACTGGTATTGTTCTCAAGTACCTGACTGCTTGGAAATGTAGAAAAGTTACAGGCATATTTACACTTACAATAGCTTAGTCTGTTATGAAATGAAGGATGCAGAAGTTATTTTCTTCAGTAAATAATAGGTATTAGCAGCAGTTCTATTTTCATGTGCGTACTTTAAAATCTACTTTTATATTCGTGACTACTGAAAAGATGTATTTCTCATATTTTTAGTTTCCATCTTATACTTCTGCAGGGTTTTCTTCACCCTTTTCCCACTGTGGTCTCCTGTATCTCTGCTTCCTTTTTCAATTACTTAGTCCTTTAAAAAACCCTCTAATTAACAGACCAAATCCAATTATCCAGCATCAGAAAGATTCCATACCTTCAACAGCCTGTCAAACAAGACAATTCTATTTAGCTGGTACTCTGTGTCCCTCTCCCGGATGATCAGAGGAAGACTAGCAGCTGCAGAGAGCTCATTAGTACTATTTGAATGAGGTAAAGTTGATTGGCTGGAAAAAGAGTTAGGATAGTAATAGTGAACAAATACAAATCACTGTGAAAAAAATTAATATCCTGTGATCCATTTCTGAGCCAGAAACAAGTATAAATGTATCATTTTGAGTATTTGCAAGTAACAGTTGATTTCCAGAACAGAGAAACAGGCTAGGATCCTCAGTTTGGTATCAGGGCCCCAAGTCCACCCAGTGCAGAGTGTTTTATTTATCAGTTCTCACTGACTTTAAGAGCCAAATGAGGACACGTTAGGTTTGCTTTTGTAAGACAGTTGTGTTTAGCTGTGCAGTGTGCCACTCAAATAGAACTTATAACTCAAAATTCAGTCCCTTACATATGTACAAACTTACACACACACTTACTCGTCTTCAAGCAATGGATAAAATGCTTCACCACCAACATCTTTCAGTCTCTGAAATGAAGAGTAAAAGTAATTATCAGAATGCTGCTCAGAATTCAAGCAGAAATATTTAGTGGAATACAAAAATTATTAATTAATATAATAAATATATAATATTATATATATATCCAATGTATACCAAATAGCAATTCATCTACCAAATTTAATAGCATCCCTTGAAATATAAGCATTATCAGACCTCCTTCAGCAAAGAGACATACAGTCTTTAACATTAAAATCTTTGCTAACACAGGCTGAACTGATGGAAGTTCTGCCTGAAGATAACATCGCATACATAAACGTATTTCCACGTAAAAAAATAGCTTCCATGCACCATGGATTAATAGACCAGTACTATTACATAGTTCTTTTTCCTGATTTTCTACATGGAATTCCTATCCAAGTAACTGCAAAGCAACTGTACAACTTGGTTTTATGTTTTTAATTAGTTCAAGAGTTATGCAAATTTGAGTTCTTTTAGTAGCAGCATCTGAAAGCTGCACAGAAATACAGACACTCTCTGGAAAGGTGACAGACAAGCATGCCTGGACTTTTGCCTGAAGTTTTCAGACATATTTGGTGCATCATGATTAATGTTTAATACCATCCTCCCTGCAGTGCTCTGCTTTGCAGTTCAATCCCTAACTTAAAGGCATACAGCACACAGCCTGTTCCTCCTGGAATTGACAGAACAGTTCATTCTCAGTTCATTTAGTACTCATCCTCTTTTGATTACAAGCATCACGCTCTGCTCTATAAAAGGTGTTTGAAGAATTGCATAAGTTCAAAAATTTATTTCAACTAACTCTGCAAGGTTCAGGCTTGTTTCTTCCCCAAAAGAGAAACTTCAGTATATACTTATTTGCTGCTGTATTTATAGAACTATGCAGCAATATCCAAAATTACAGAATGAAGTGTTTTAAAAACAGCTTTAAAAGCTGCCCTTTTGGAGGAACAACAGTAGGAGCTGCAGTGGGTATTACCCTTAGAATAGTGATTGAATATTCTCAACTCCCCCCTCAAAGCCCATCAACCAAGCAACCCAGTTCTTCGGTCTGTTTTCATGCCTTTGTGTGAAGTAATGCAGAGTTCTACTGAAGAAGTATGTTTACACAGTATTTTCCACATTGCCCCTAAAATTAAGGTAATGGTGGCAGAGATAAAGACTTTAGGAGTCACCTTCCTTTCTGTATTAATGAAGTGCTAGGGCTTGAACCTATAGATGAATCCTGTATATTTTGTAACTGATAACCATTGTGCTAGTAAGTATTGTACAAAGTTATAACAAACCACCTATGCTGGTGTAAAAAGTGCAAAAGCGTTGAAGTATTGAAGCCTGAACAACGGACCTTGAAGCAAAGTTGCTAACTTAGTATATAGACATGAGAGAAATCTGTATGCTCATTAATGAGAGCTGTAGCTTAGATATCATATACTCATGATGAATGTAATGTAAATATCTCTATCCTGAATGTATCTGGCTCTTTGTGTAGGGGCAAGTCAACATGGCCACGAAGCCAGCTGTCTGGCCTTGGGACCAGACATGTAGCCTTGTTCTAAAAAGAACATAAATAAATTAGATAAGCAGGGAAACTCCCTTAGCTTCTCTCTTGAGCCCTGTCCAGGCTCTGGGGGAATCTAATGTGAGAGTGAAACTAGATGTTCCACTTAGAACAAACGTGCCAGTTATTCTGGCTTGCTCATTTTTGGTACATAAGGCTGGACCTGATTGCAGCATCTCTGGATGCCTCACCTACGGATGGATGTATCACATATGACTTCCTACTTGCCAGGACAGGCTCTCCAAATCCTCACTGCAAATCTGGATGATGGTTACGTATGGAAGTGGTGATGTATCATTCTTAATCACTGTTCTCTCTCTCTCCAATGGTAATGATTTGATGCATTACCCTGTATTTTCCCATTCATTTAAGTGCACTATTCTGTCTTTTCTTACTGTATGTTTTCTGTGTTACTCTGTTACATTATTTAGTTATCCCCAGTAAAATATGCCTACTCTTTTCACTCTGGTGTCCAAATTTAACTGGGATCCTTAATCAGCAAAACAATTAACCCTTGTAATAATATGAAAAGGTTTTTTATAAAGACTGACAGAATTGCATTTGCTACTAAAAAAGCAACCTGCAGCATAAATTTCTAATTCTACAGCAATAAAGCTCTGTAAGTGCAAAGAAGCGAACAATTAAAACATTTCAGTGATATATGCAGTAAATCTTGTAACTGATCATTACATCAGGCAAAATTGTGAGTTATCATCTGTTGATTTTTCCACTGAAGATAGAAGAAAGCTGCATTACTGCATTTTAACGGAAGTCACCTTTCGAACTAGTTGTTTAATAGCTATATATTCCAAAGATTAGTAATTAGCTCCTGGAAACTTGGTATTCAACTTCAAGTATAAAGCCTTTAAGAAGCTGAAACTGAATTGAGTTGATCTTGCTTTTGAATATTGTGAGCCACCTACAGACAGGAACTAAAGAATGCAAGACGACACTCACTGTTCAACTAGTTCAGTAATCGTGGAGAATATCAGGTATTACAGAGCTATTTGGGCTACACTAGAACAAAGCAGGTAACAAAAATCAGGAAAGGGAGGGACACAGGAAGGGGATGGAGAGACAAAAGATAAATCAAATTTAGTTAGCTTTTGCAAAGCAATTTAATAGCATAAATCACAATCTGACTCAGACACCAAGAAGCATTCCTTTGGAATCAATAACACTGTCATTTGTAGGAACAGTGGTATGAGCTGCTGCTCTGTACTCCCTTTAAACAAATGATTCTTCAGTGAAGACATAAGAACAAGTTCACAGTCTTATTCTTACGTTTCGGAGCTGGCACAGAGACAAAGTCACTGTTGTGTCATCTAGAAGGGAACTTCTATCTCGTCCTTGCCCAAAGCTCTCACCATCTTCTAATAAAAAGCTTCAAAAGGGAGGAAAAAAAAATCAGGTCATTTTATAATGTAAGACTTCATAAGACTTGAGTTAGAAAAGAATAGAAGATTCTTACATCAATCAGCATTTCCTCTTTAAAACAAAATACTAGTTCTTAGAAGTATAGTGTATTGATTCTGCATGGCATGAAACCTGCTATCAAGGGAATGTACAATCACCTTAAATTATTCAGTTTTTGCTGTAAAAAGGCCCATATCAGGTTTTCTATAACTTTGATTTGCACACGAAGAAAGAGTAATGAGATATGGGATTAATATTCCATTTTATTCCTTGACTAGGTCTGTCATTTATTGTCAAAAGCAAAAATAAAACATTATTTTCATATGAAAACCATTTCCCACCATGACAAAAAACAAGCAAAAGTCTGACCTAGATCTTTCCTGTTGCAGTCCATCTAAGGATACAAATGCACCCAAGAAAGAGTATACAAAAATTGTCTATTTGGTGATATTTTTAAAGCAGACAACACAAAATTGATTTCCAGAAATTAAGCTAACATTCTCAGTATCACTTAAAAGATGGAGTTAGATTGAATTTTTGAAATTAACACCTCAGTTTCAAAAATCAATAGTACAATGAAAAAATTTTTCCCCTTGTAATTTAAAACCACATGCATTCACCTATAGGTGAAGCAATCTCTCCAAAATGTGACACTAACTTTGCCACCAAAATAGCACTTGAAATCTAGTCCCAACTTTTTTTTTTTTTTTTTTTAACAAGCTATTTCACTTTGGCTGTGCACTAACTTCACATGTTTTTAAAACCCCGAACCAGCAAATTGATCTACATGGACACATAATTATGCTTACTGAGATCAGATTATAGGATTAAAACATGAATAGACCACATAAAATTGCAGTGTGTGCAGCAGTAAGATAAAAGTAGGTATGTCTAAAATGCTGTTACAGAATTCTAAGTCATAAAACTAGGCATTTTAAAATAATCAGCTGATCTGCTGAATAACTAGGCTGACCATTCAGTACTGCTGCTCTGTGAAAGGAAATTCAGAATGTGAGGGGTTGCTACAGAACGTATTAAATTAAATTACAATTACAAATCTGCTGTTGAAGCAGTGAGACATTTTTACTAAAACTTAATGCTATTGGAAAGTGTGCTAATTTTAGGGACTTCCATTTCAGTATTTTGCACTGCACCTACATATCTTCAAATTTCGGAAAGCAATATGAAGTGCAGGTAGGGGACAGATATAAGGCATTCAAATAATGCCTTAAATTGGGTAAGAGAAGCGACATGATTTCCTGCTCTTCAAGAACGCTGTTTTTCACACATACAGGTATTGAAACTAAAAACCAAACCAAAATGTTCTCTCAGAATCGGTGGCTTTATCCATCCATCCATCCATCCATCCATCCATCCATCCATCCATCCATCCATCCATCCTCCTTTCCCTCAAATTGCTTTTCCTTCCTTACTTGGGAAGTGTGCAGACAGGTGGTTTTGATCGAATGATTTCCTTGTTGACAAGTTCTTTTTCCAAGTCTCCTCCAGCCAAACACCAGAGATAATAAACCTCTTCAATTGATCTTTCTGCTAGGTAATCACTGTCTTCATCTATTAGGAGAAACCACATAAAAATGAGTTACAGATTTTAGGCAGCTAGTATTTTTTCCTACCACTCATATAGTTGAAAAAAAAGTTATTATGCTTGAAAGGTCCTCAACCTTAATGTGAAGTTAGAGGAAAAGTGACCTTTCCTTTGCAAGTGCCCTTTAGGAAGATTACAGAAAGAGCACATGGACAGAAGTCAGAAAAAAGCAAATATTTCTGCAGTTGCCTTGGTGTCAGAAAATAGAACCTATCAGATAAATACACTGAAGTGTGGATTTTTGCTTCCTGTGTGTCTTTAAAACAAACACAAGCACTATTTTGTGCACAACACAGCACTAAGAGTAAACCCAAGAAACTAGTGATTCATAATGAGTAGTTATAATCTATCTTCCCTTCACATACCATAGCCATACTAACAAAGTATAAAATCTTAAGCCACCAAAAAATGTATAACGAGATTTTCTAAACGTGTAGAAACCCGAGTTCATCAGAAAAAGTTTGAGGACTTAAGAGCAGTAACACTTGCAGTATACTGTAGTTTAAAACTTAGAAATGTAACCTTTTACTCTAGAATGTGACCTCTTTCACAAGGATTTAGTTTTCCAATACTCCAAAAAATCACCTCATGCTATGATCCAGCAGAATCCAATTATCAATTCACAAGACCATTTAGTGAAAAAAAGTCTGCCTGTACATGCACATGTCCAAATTCTACAGGCAAAAGATGACATTGATATTCCAAGCTGGACTTGAATACTAATGATAACTATTGCCTAAGGTTGAAACGCAAAATCAAGATGCTCTCCTTTGACCTGCACACATCCCTCAAAATACGTTTGCCCAGTCTTCGTCCATTAAACAACATACTACAAGAATGTAGTGTTGTAACATTTAATAGTTTCTCTCCAACAAAGTTTTCAAAGAAAACATGAAAACATTTTATTTTCTTTCCCCCTCCAATGACATTTATCCCACTACCTGCTTTTACCTTTACATAATTGACTTATGTCTTCAGGAAGCGTTAAATTAGCACACCTTGGAGAAGATGAGAACAGACCAGCAGGTTTGTGGAAAAGAGGATATACTGAGGATACTTCACTGAACAAACTGTCATGCAGCAATTCCTCTGGAGTTGGCCTTGAATTAAGAAAAGAGAATAAAACATTAAGAGTAAAGTGCTTCCAAAAAGGTTACATTTCAGTAAGAAATGTCTCCAGTAACAAGTACTGGCAAGTTATTCTAAATTATATTGGATTTCAGAAATTTTAATAGCAAAGACATCTACCAATTTTGTTCAATTCATGATGCATAACACACCACACAGTCTGCTTACACCCCAAGTTCAGATCTCACCTTCATTTAATATACATGGCATCCATTACAAACCCCTTTAATTACTCTAATCAGAGATGGAAAAATGCAAGTGCAAAGCCTCGATTAAAGAACAAAAGCATACTTCAGTTTTCAGAAGAAAGCTGTGGTGGACTGACATCACAAAAAAGTACTTTGAAAGAAGAGATTTGAAGAAAGCAGCCCTAATTCCAGTTACAACAGAGCTATAGTAACCACCACCAACTTCCAGACATGGAATCAGTAAAAGCTGTGAACTGAGAACTACAAATGCCTAAATAGTTTTCCCCCAAAATACTCAGATTAAATTTTGCACACTCAATTTCTACAGACCTGCCCCCGCAATGTTTTTCCTTTATAACAGTGAAAAGCCACAAACCCAAGAATTTCTTATAGGTAGCACCAATTGTCAGTATTCCAAAAAAGGTTCTGCAGCAGGTCTTCTAATTTCATATTGTCACTAGATGCTTAGACTGAATACTTGCCTCTTAGAAGGCTGGAATGTAAGGCATTTCTTCAGTAGAGCTATAATATTTTCAGAAAGGTTCTGGAACAGAAGAAAAATATAGAGGAGGTCTGTTTATTACTGTCTTAATTCAGCAAGCCACTTAGCTCATACTTAACTTTTAACATACAGACTATTCCTTTGAGGGCAATAAAATCATGCTAATAGTCAGAATCCTTTTACACAATGTCTCAAAATACACAGATGTTAAAATTCGGTGATTAATTTTGGGGGTGAGGACAAATTGAACTGTATAAACCTATGCTATCAAAACGTATAAAGTGGACCAGATAGGTAAGTTTCTAGAAGAAAATACTTAACTCCCAACACTTTGTAACTTACTAAACTATCCAGAGAGCTATCATATTTACTGTAATTGACTGTAATTTTAGGAAAGAATAAATATTACCAGTACCGGCTATTTGAAAGGATCTTAGATATGTAGTTCAGACATACTGCAGTACATCAAGTGACCAAATACGTGAAAAAACATAAACATGTTAAATACTATGCAACAATAATGAAATGTTTTGGATAAGACAGCATCAAAGTGCAAACTAGTTCCACAAACCTTAATAGTATCAAGGCAACCATGTTCTTCAGCCAATACAGTTACAATATCATCTACACAGCCTTTGAAAAATGAACAGAATAAAAAGTTAGAGCATATGAAAAAAAGTGATACCAATTAAAACAGGGTATCAAATAAAACCCCACCTCAATAAAAAGCATATAACTTGACTTTTTATTGACACTGCCACATCACCTGAAAGTGAATTCTCAAAATTAGAAATTAAAATTATCACCTATGCAGACAGAAAGTTGAAGCGTAAGAAAGGAGCACATCTAATTTAACAGCACACATCTTTTTGCAGGCTTAGTAAATACAGAGTGTCAGTCTGCCAAATAAATTAAACAGTCCCTCCACTCATAAAAAAACCACAAAACAAATCCCTGAAAGAACTTAAAAATAACTACATATAGAAGCTCAAAGTAGTTTTCATTTTGTTGCTACTTGTAGATAATTCTAGCAGTATTTTATAAGTTGTTTTCAACACATTATTGACAAAATAATTCCCAAATCAGGACATGAATGTTTTTCAGAGGATAAAGCTTACCAATAACTTGCATTCAACTTGAAGGGGACTGAAATGCTTCAGGAAGCTTTGTTAACAAATCACTTACCAAAACAGTCAGAATTTCAGCACCCAAGCACTAACTGGTGAACAAACAAGATGTTTCCACTAACAGTAACTAAATTTTAACAGTATTACTATTTGCTCTGGATAATAGTAACTGATAAAGCTTCATATTGCAAATTCATGCCCTTCCTCTCCCCATGGTTTATACATAAACCCCACAAGAAATAGAATTTTAACAGCCATAAAATAGTCCCACTTCTAGACTCATTTACATTAAACAAAAATTTCATGTCTACGGTAATGTTTTATAGTTTGTGGGTGAAGTCCAGAAACAAAAGCCTGGATACATGTCTCAGCTCTCTTTATTTTCTGTCTTCCTATTTGAGTTCTCCTTATTTGGGATTTGGTGCATAAGTGTACTAGTATGACACTAAAGAAATCTGTCCCTCCCAATTCCTAATTCCTTTCAGAAACCTCCTGCGACACAAAACAACAAATAACCATCAGTGTGACAACCTTTCCTGAGCATGCTTTTTTATAGCATGCCCTTGCTCTAACATACTCATAGCTTTTCTACGAAGTTATTTTTCCTGGCACCCACCTCTGTACCTTCCCTAGACCAGCAGCCATGCTTCAAATGTCTAATTCTGGAGATGAAAGCTGACAAAGGTAAAGTGCCTTAGGTCTGAGCATCACAAGCTGACTAGTCTGTAAAACTCTAATTATAGAACCACTTGGAAACTTAAAATATTGCTTTTGTGCTACTTACCTAACATAATTATAAATTTCAATCTTTCGGCTATCTCCAAGCTTTGGAATAATTTTCTCCCCTAAATAAATAATAAAATCAAATCAACAGCTGATACATAAAAGTATTTAGATAGTGTACACACCCACCTATATGCAAAGACAGTGAAATAAGCTTCTATATATCACTTCTAGATTTAGGAGAACTATCTGTTAGAACAGAATATGTTATCTACCCTGACTATAGCAGAAACAGTTTCATGCTGTCGTAAAAAACCAAAAAAGTATAATTTATAATGTCTCTTAACTGGAACAAATGCAAAGAGAAAAAAGCAAAACAAAGCCCCAAGCTGCATTAGCAAACCTGCAGGTTTATTATTAATTCATTGAACAAAACAGCTTTCAAAAACTTTTTTCCAATGTGAGCATGAACAAAGGTAATTAATTACTAAACACAGTAATCAAAGCTTGTATTACTGCACAGTGCAAAAAAAGTAATCTGAAAATCCCTTTAAAATATGCTTCAAAGGAATAATGATCTATGAACACTATGCAAATTTACAGAAGAGCAGAATGTGCAAAAGACTATTTCCAATGTCCTGATCTAATCACTATATAAACCACTATAGAAAACAAGTTCTTGACCATGGAATTGTCTGACAATTTAGTTAACTTACATAATGAGACTAAATATCAATATTGAGGTATTTGCTAGATCATATCTCCCTACAGAATTCTGCTGTCTTTGAATGAAAGAAATCCAGTTTGACATACACAACTATTAAAAATTATGCTGTCAGAATTCAGCTCCATTTCTATGGTCAAATAAGCATTTTCCAAATAAATCCTTAATTCTGTGAAGAAGCTCTTTAAACTCTGCCAATAGGGCTGATGCTCCCTTTTCCTCCTCTCTATGAAACTTTATGAGTTTCTCTTTCTTTCCAAGGAGAATAAGAGCATGAAAACAAAGGTTATTTCATGCTTAAAAGCACAATTAAGCCAACAAATTATCCAGACAGACTTCTTGGTTCAGAAGCTATTCCTCACTACAAATTTGATCATGCAATCACATCACTGTGGCATAACAAGCAGCTGCCCTTCATGGTTAACACATATATCAATCCAATGTCCATCCTACTATTTAATCTACCACCAATACTGTCCAGGTAAGATTTTTGGACTCAGGTGATGGGAACAGTGTCATGAACCCCATACTCAAGAGCAATCAATATAACTATTATCCAAGAGTCACTGTCAAGACAATTATCCTTTTACATACCATGCAAAGCTCAAATAATATTATACCAAGAGACCACAGATCTGATTTAGGGCCAGAAGGCAGAGGCTTCTCACACTGAGTATGATCACTTGGTTTGACTATTCCCTGTGCAATTACTTCAGGCGCCAGATATGATGGGTACCTAGAAAGAAGCAGCAGCATTAAGTAACATACTGTCTATCCAAAACAAACCTATCTTTCAGTTACAGTAATCCAAATAATTTTACATTCTGAGAAACTAGAAATATCAATCCAGATGGTTCTATTTTATTCATTCAGTATCTACACATTGCAGCAAAGTTTCAGTCCAATTGCAAAATACATAGTGCGTACTACATAAAAGGTCAAACCTTAATCACTAGTTCGGTGCTTTTGTGAGAGGAAATAACAGCAGCTTTCAAAACAGTGTATGTCTACATATCTCAAAAAAAATGTGTACTGAGTTTCAGCACTACTACATTAAATAAATGTATTCTAGACCCATATTTGGGGGTGGAGGTGGTGGCAGTATCCCCCTCCATTGACAGTGTTCCCATCAAATAATTTCTGAATTTGTAAAAAAAGTAGCAAAAGATGTTGAGGACATATTCTACACGCTGCTAGATCATTTAAAAATAACATTATTGCTTTTTCTGTCAACAATTCATTATAATACTTTAAAAATCTGAAATCACCTTTTGAAGGGAAACATCATTACTTCTTTTGGGCATTTGTCTAAGACTCAGATCAGTATTTAAATTGTAAACAACATGACACCTCAAAAAAACAAAAAGTGGCAAGGAAACACTGTAAAGCAGCATGTCACTTTGGCAAGATGGCAAGATCATGTGAAAATAAATCACAAAATGATGAAGTGACGAGGTCTACAATGTTGTGCAACAGTGAAGCACTGATTGTGCTTCTTCCTAAATTTAAAATTAGATTGTACCTCCAGAATCCAAGTCACAGGGAACTACTGCATTTGAAGGCAAGTCTAGGCAATAAGGACTGACATCATATAGTTACAGTAACATGCTTGCATGGTACCCATTCTCTGTCTTTCATTAATTTTACCTAGTCAGATAATAACCTCTTCAGTGGCATTATCAGAAGCTTCTGTGTAAGGGGTGTATGGAAGACATATTAAACCAGCAACCTATAAACTGTGCATACACATTTTTGAAGATGATTACTCAAACCAAATATATTTCCTGAAAATATACATCCCTGATGTATTTGTATTGTGCAGCTACATCCTTACCCTATAGGAAAATCAACATCAACACCTTGAGCAGTCATATGGTAGAGTCCAAATTTAGCCAGCTTCACATGTCCCTGAAAAGGAAAATAATAAATGATCAAGTGCAGCAGATTCTGACATTGGAAGAATCTGTGTTTAAGTTTAAAAAAAATATTTAAAGTATCATTTTTGCATTAGCTGTCAGAAGAGATACCTATAAAGTCATACTTCTCTGTATAGTCCATATATTTCCATTTCATCTGTTACACAGAATTCCACTGCAAGTTAATAACTGCTTATTTCTAATGCTTTTACTTTCCAAGACCATCAAGTAAACACCTTGTTTGGAACACATAAGAAAATCAGAACTTTTTAAGTTACCATATAATTTCAGTAAATTAAAAAGGCTTAAATACTCTATTGTACATTTTTCCTGTTTGAAAAATGTTCAAAATCCTATTTGAATCCTAGAACTCCCTAAGTTTCACCACTATTTCCTCACCTTTCCCATTTACCCAGCCTTGCTCCACCAGTCCTTCCCATCAACTCATTACTGTTTTGCTCTCCTTAACTGTATCAACACATATTTCAAGCCAACAAGTTTTCTAGGTGCCTCCTATTGTTCTGTGGAGGCAGAATATTAACATCAAAACAACAAAAAATAGGCATAGAAGTTAAACTGATATATTGTTCCTGACAGATTTTGAATATACTCAGCCAGCCTGCAGATGGTGCAACAGTGAAGCCTACAGCAGCAAGCTATTCAAGTGCAGGGGTAAAGTTTAAAAGTTTATGGTCTCATGGTCCCCTTTTGTTCTTTTTTAGACTGTTGGAGTATCTTAAAACCCTGAAGTACTTCTGCTTGTTAGAGCATTATTATGACTTTCATTTGTTTACAAGTAAGTCAAAACCAGTGTTCTTCCTTTCCTTCTTCCTTCCAAAGAGAGGATCTAGCTATTCTATCTAAAGTGAGGGGAATGAGAGGGGGGTTATGCAGACAGGATAAGCTCCTTAGCTGTCAGTTCAGATGAAGAGACCACTCTGAGTACAACAGCAGCTATTAATTTCTCTCAGCTTTTATGAGCAGAACCTGTAATCCACACTGCCAACTCAACAGTCTGTGACAACAGAATTGACAGACACTGGAATTAAAAACATTATCTTAAAAATCAAGTATATAAAAAAAATATCTGAGAAGTCAGGTATCAGATCACCATGAAACACAGGAAATATTATTAACAGCTAATTAGCTAGAATAAATATTTTCCCATTCAAACAGCTAGGAAGGTCTTGTAACTAACTGGAATGATGATAAGTAGACTTAAATTACCACCCTGAGAAAAAAAAAAAAAAGGGTGAAAAAAGTGGTTTGGGATAAAAAAAAAGGGAAAAGAGAAAAATAAAATCTGAAATATATTTGAAATTTAGGAAATGCAGAAAACTGTGGTTCTAAAAAAAACCAAACCCAACACTTTTCCAGATATGCTATTTTCCCCCCCATCAGAAGGGCTGTGACTGCCCAGTCTCCAAAGATAACACAGCATGCTCCTTGTTGGCAGCAAGAGGAAACAACAAAAAAACAAACCCATAGATTTATCCCCTGTAGTTGTACCTTTCGATCCAAAAGAATATTGCAAGGGGAGAGTGCTCGGTGGACCATTCCATGTTTGTTCATATATTGCAAGCCTTGCAAAACCTCATATGCTATGCATAAGATCCTTGAAGAACTGGAAAAAAAAAAAAAAAGACCAGTGTTATACTGAATGTTTCCCTTTTTAATTTATAAAAATGCACCATTCCATAGTTATTCCAAACACAAGTGAGACATTTACAATTCCTGAACAGCGTAAGGAATCAATATTGAATATGGTAGGATATGGTCAGAGCCATACACAACTTCTCAATATCCCACAACTAGGTTTCTTCACACTGAACTGGTCCTTAAAACCACAAAGTATAAAATATTCTCTGCAATAGAAACTGTGAGATATACCTCAACTAATTGGGAAAAAAAATCCCAACCCTCCTTTATTTTTATTTGCTTTGCCTCAGTTTGCTATTGGTGTTCACAGAGAAGTTCAACTAAATAAAAACTTTTGAAACTCAGATGTTAACTGGAGCTCAGCTAGAAGATAGTGCAGAGGCATGGCTAGATTACACCTATAGTATTCAGTCATCTCAACATCTAAAACAAAAAAAGAAACAAAAGAAAGGGCAGAAAACTTAATTTTCAGCACATTTTGATTTACAGCCTTGGCAGCAACCACCTTACCATCTTTCGACAGAAACTATGAACTTTACCATCCAAAACATTTGGACATAACTATATATTTAGACAGAAGTTACCATTTACTACAAGAACTGGTAAATCTAAAGAGGAGTTTCTGTGAACAAGTGAAGAGGAATTTGTACCGAGACCATCAGTATTAAGCTTCAAAAGCGCATACAAAATAAGAACAAAAGGCAGAGTTCTGAGTCCCCCAGAAAGATTCCTTTTAACTGTTACCTTCCTCATTTCCCACCCACATCCTCCCTCAGAGCACATTTGAGGTCTGTTTGGCAAATTTATTGCTGAAGGCACTGGTTTACAAAATGTCCAGAAACTAAAGCATACGTACTTATGAAGGCATACCCTATTTTTTTTTTTTTTTTCTTCATTGTTAAAGAATAACACACAATAGGATTCCGGACAAGGCTTACCACCTCTTTCTTATTAAAAATTTGTGTAACAGCAAAACGAGGGGGAACATTATGAACTGGCAGGAGTGACAAGCCAACCAACTGACTAAACATCAAAATTTAGTAAATTAAAGCTTTATTAGTTGCTATTTATACCTGATGGAATATCAGAATTTTGTAACAAGAGTAAATAGCTAGATTTTGACAAAAGCCACAATTCCAGGGCAACAGAGAAATACTGAAAAGAGCTGTTTCCAAAATATTCTAAGGCCACCATTAAATTACCTTACATGGAGCTATTCTCTAGACTCTACCCTTTTTCCTAGGAGAGCTCTGTACTAATTTACCTTAGTTGTGAAGATACACTTTTAAGTGAAATTTTAAGCACAAAGGGAATCTATTGTTGCATACATCCACACTGCTGTATCCTCCATCATAGCATTTGGAAGTCATTCTCAAGGTCTTAGCAATTCAACCAAAACCACATGGCTAATAACCACAAAACCAAAACAAAAATCCCACAACTATCTCTCTCCTCTCTCACTGGCACTTTTTCTTTCCCATCCCTCCCACCTCCAAGTTATACAACACACCACAGCATCAGAAACCACTAGCTGTGTAGTGTTTCCTCCCAGTCATTCCTGGGCCAAGATTTAACTGTGGTAAAAAATTTACCTTCCTTGTGCAGTTTTTTTTGTCTGCAATGTAGATATTAACAATAATGGTTACAAACAGAATACTTTCTCTTGCTTTTTACGGAATTTTGCAAAACAAGACATGAAAAATAGATTATGAAGAATTCCTGTTTTCAGTAAGGAAACAATTGCATGTGAACAATTAGTACATGACGAGATAATTTAGCCTAAAAAGTGTTTCTTTGTATTAAAAAAAAAATCAAAACAAATATAAAGTGCAATTTTGTGGCCGTTGTGTCTCAGGAGTGCAGTGTGCTCCAGCGGCACTATGGGCCCTCAGACACCCATTTATTCTCCATGTTCTCTTGCAAGTCATAAAAATAGAACCCGGGCAAATGCCTGAAAATACTGCTTTGGAATTCTCTGCTCCTCAAGATAAGTCGTCCATAGCATTACAACGACCAGCAACACATATTTTTCATCGTGCATAATTCTCAGTGTTAAACTTTTGATGCCACCCGGCTGGGGAGAAGTGTTCAGCCAAGCACCTCACCCTCAAGCTGAAGCATGTACGCCACCTCCCCAAGAGAGAGGGAATGCTGTGTAACAAGCTCTTCATAGTGCTGTTGCACATTATCTAGTTCTTATTTAATTTATTAGGTAAAACACACTGTTTGTGGTTATTACCCCTGAGATTTGCATTTAACTGCAAAAGGCCTGGCACAAACACTCACCACTGTTACCGAGTACAAGAATCTCTCTGCTTTAAACTCCCCAAGGCCAAGTTTGACAGCAAGCAGTCCCTTGCCTCCTGGAGATCGTTACCAAGGCTATCCCCTTGCTTCAGTGGGGCTCAGCTCCCAGCTTCTACAGCAACTCTGTCAACACTGCAATGGGGTTCTGCAAGTGCAGAAGGTACAGAAGTGCAGAAGGTACACTTCTTCCAAGCTTCAGATTAAGGTGACATTTAAAAAGGCCCCATAAATAGAAAAAGAAAGCAGAGTCCTAAACAAAGAGGACATTTACTATATCCAGTGTTAGGGTATTGTTTTCCGTGATTATCTGGAAGTCTATTTTTCAATAGGCTAGCAAGTGTCAAACTATGATAGATCTAGAGGAGTGGTTTAGCCGCTGGGGCTCTGGAACTGCAGAGGTGTCAGTACTCTCCTCCTTTAACAGGTGGTGAGGAAAAACAGCAAAGTATTAGAAACAGCACAGGAGAAAAGGCAGCCCAATGAAAGTGTGGCAGGTTCAACACCAACCATGCTACACCACGGACCTAACAAGAGCCACAAAGACAGTTGTGTGGCATGAAATACCCTGTTCATCTCAGCAACTAATCATCATGGTTGTGACTTTAAACTATTGTGAAGTGAATCATTCCACTGCTCAAGGCAGACATGGTATGAGGCAGTAAGTAAAAGCATAAAAGTGTGACATGCACTTCAACCACTGGCAGATCTGGAGGGACACTGGTTGTCTTCGGTTTCCTAGCTCTCCTAACAAGGCTTGTTTTAAGGTTCTTTTCCTCTCCACAAATGTGAGAAAGAGAGAAGCAACAAGAGTTTCTCTGCAAAAGGAACAATTCACAGGCAGTTAAAAAGGCATGATCTCTCTACAACTACTAGTGCATTTCCAAGGAGCAGGCTTTGTTTCAATTCTCAATCTGGATACCAACAAATCTGCTCTGCTGTAGCCTACTCAGGCTTTTGAAAACAGGTTCTCTTTAAGTGAAAGGATTGCACATTGATGTAAAATCAAGCTGCTTAGATTTAATCATTGCCTGCTTTTTTCCTGGTTTAGAGAAAAAGAAATGTAGCCATGAAGAGGGGCCATTTTCTGTTCCTTCATTCTAGAAATTAAGAATTAAAAAATTATAAGGATTAAAACTAATATCAGGTTTAGGTCTGTAACTTGAATGTAACCATAGCAAAGGAAGCACAAAGGATAAAAGATTAATTTCTGAGGGAGGAATTCAGTTAAGTAGGAATGGGAAAAAAAAAATATCTCTACAAGTTGATACGAGCAAGTTCAGCCAACAGTGCAAAACTAGCATGGTTGAAAGGCATGTGCTTGGCATTCATGGGTGGAGAGAGAAAGGAAGACGACTTAAAAACCCACAAAAATGAGTATTATTTCATTACCTCCAGAATTTGTCAGACCAAAAGCTATACCAGACAAATGACTAATTTCCACACTGTAATAGTACACAGGTGGCTGCATTGTGCCTTCACAAAAAAACATTAACTTTTCCACTGAGCAGGCAGCCTGATCTCCAGCCTGTTCAATTCTTACTGTTAAGCACACAAAACCATCTTCTGGAAGTCTACTTCAGAAATAAAGAAATACTTCAGAAATAAATTCCTAACCTGTCAGGAAACAGATGTTTTAGTAGAGTTTCAATATCCTGTGGTGTTGCAAACTCACTGATTAAATAATCTGATTGCTTAGGACACTTTTGTCACTTTTTGGATTCAGAAGGAAAAAAAAAAAATTCTTCTTAGTGCACCCACTGCAATCTTCCAGCTGACTCAGAAAAGCTTCCAGGCCAGGGTGAAAGGGAAAAGTTGTACTAGAAGAAATTGGCATACTGAGAATCTTACCTTTCTTCAAAAGGATCGGATATTAACAAACTGAGAGAAGAGGGAAAGAGGGATTTATCAGGAACCTTGGTTCCTGATAATAAACCCCTAAAATAATTAGTGAAATAGAGAGATAGTGACAGAGAAGCACATGGGAACAAACATCTAGGAAGACCTGCCCATGCCATAGGTCAACAGAAGCCCAAGATCAAAAAATAAAAAGGTTAGTAATGCATTTAGAAGTTAGAAAGTTTATGACAGAAAGGTGGGATTCTGAGTTCTTGCGACAATCAACAATCACACCTATGTATTATTCAGTTTGAATGGTTATTATTTGTGATTATTAATGGGAATGATAATGCAGCTGCTTGTAGAAGCAGGAGGCTGGATTCCAAGACAAGATGCTCGAGGAACAAATAACATTCTGCAACTGATTATTTCCATTTTAGATAAAATTACTGGTCTTCTAAATCCTGCAAATGGTCATACTAGCTCAGACCAAAAAGTATTGAGACCACTATCCTTTTTCCAAAATAGAAGACAGGCCAATGCCTCAGAGAGAGGAAATGCAAAACAAGCACATATGAAACGTTCCCTGATATTTTCCTGGCTTCCAACCTCTTTAATTCAAGCTTGCTTCTGCATAAAAAGTTTGCCTCCCAAGCATCACATCTGATGATGTCAGAACATAAAGTAAACCCTGCAAGACTCAACAGCTCTTGTAGCAGGATACCCATTATTCCAAGTCTTTTATCAACGTTCACAGAATATCCACAAGTTACCGTGGAAATTCACAGCCACCAAGTATTCTGTTGGTAAGATCTCCTTGCT